CATCATCCCCCAGAGAAGGGCGTCTCATCACCTCTCCCGCCCCCCCCCAAGTATCACCCCACTGGAATTGTTCCTCTCCCAACTTGAGCATTGTCCCACAAGGAGTAGGGGGGTCCTACTGTCCCATGAAGCATCATCCAGAAGGGAAGGGGTCCCGTCATCTCACCAAGCATCACCTCGAGGGATGGGATCCTCACCCACCCAAGCGTCAGCCTGCAGGGAAGGGGTCCCATCACCCCATCAGGCATCACCCCACAAGAAAGGGGTCTCACAGCCCCAGGAAACATTACCTTGCTGGGAGGGGTGCCCTCGCCTGCCCTCACATCACCCCACAAGGAAGGGGTTGCATTGTCCCCCCCCCAGCTGACAGGGACCTCATGAAGTTTCACAAGGGGAAGTGCAAAGCCCTGTCCCTGGGGGAGGAAGAGCCCCAGGCACCGGGACATCCCAGGGGCCACCCAGCTGGGCAGCAGCTCAGCAGAAAAGGTCCTGGGGGTCTTGGTGGCCACCAAGTTGACCACCAGCTAGCAATGTGTCCTTGGGGCAAAGGAGGCAAATGGCATCCTGGGCTGTGCTCAGAGGAGCATTGAGCCTTCCCATCTGCTCAGTGCTGGGAAGGCTGCTCCTGGTGTGCTGGGTCCAGTGCTGGACTCCCCAGTATGAGAGAGAGACATGGACATACTGGAGAGAGTCCAGTGAAGGATCACTAAGAAGATTAAAGGACTGGAGCATCTCTCCTGTGAGGAGAAGTGGAGAGAGCTGGGACTGCCCAGCCCGGAGGAGCAAAGGCTCCAGGGACCTTGTCCATGTATATGCATGCCTGGAGGGAGGGCGCGGAGGGGATGGCACCAGGCTCAGTGGTGCCCAGCGCCAGGCCCAGGGGCAATGGGCACAGACTGGATCACAGGGCTGCTCTCTGAACATCAGGCAACACTTTGTCACTGTGAGGGGAGCGCTGGCCCAGGCTGCCCAGGGAGGTGGTGGGGTCTCTGTCCTTGGAGACGTCCAAAAGGCATCTGGGCATGGACATGGGCAACCGGCTCTGGGTGGCCCTGCTGGAGCAGAGGGTTGGATGATGGCCTCCTGAGGTCCCTCCCAACCTTAGCCACCGTGTGGTTTTGTCCCTCACCTACCTGAACATCACCCCACAAGGAAGGGGTCCCACTGTGCCACCAGTGTCCCTGTGGGTACGGGTCCCTTCATCCATCTGAGCATCACCCCACAAGGAGGGGTCTCGCAGCCACCTGAGCATCACCTCACTAGTAAGGGGTCCCATTGCCCACAACAGCATCACCCCACAAGGAAGGGGTCTCCTTGCCCACCCCAGCACTCCTCTGCAGCTGGGGCAGTGGCCATGGGCTGGTGTGCGGCTGTGTCATACCAAGGGGGTTCACCCTTCCCACCACCCCACAGGGGTTCTGTCCTGTTTGGGGGCACTGGGCACCCTGGGAGCACCTGGCAGGGTCCTGTGGCTGCCCCAGCCTCACTTTGCAGCAGGCAGGGCTTGGCACAGGCACCCCCATGGCCCTGCCTAATTCTGGGAGCAGAGCAGGAGGAGGGCAGCACCAATCCATGCCCAGCCCGGAGCAGCTCAGCACCGTCATGAGTTTCACAGCCTCAGCCCAGCACAGGCAGCGAGGACACACATCCTCCTGCCAGCACAGGGGCTTCAGCGTCGGGGCGCGGGGGGCTGCCATACCCCGGCACCGCCGGGAAAATGAAGTGCGAGCTGCCAGCGGGGGCTGCAGGCTCCTGGCGGTGCCGGATGCGGCCCGGCTGGCCAACGCGCCGTAATCGAAGACATGTGTGTGGGCTTTGGGGAGAGGCTGCGCTGGGAAACAGGGCCCTGCGGAGACCGGGGGGCTGTATCCTGTCCAAAAGCCCAGGTCCCACATGAAGCCAGGCATGCGAACGCGATCCAAACCACAGCTGGATTTGAACCGAATCTCCCAGCATCTGGGCTAATTTGCTGCAACTTTGATTGATCGTGGGGAGGGGGCACGGGCGGGAGACGCTCCAGCTCAGACCTCCCAACAGAGCCAATGACTTAACCAGAGCTGGTTCCAATCTGCTCAGCACATTGAGGCGAAAATGCCCCTTTCCCCACACGCTCCTGTTCGCCGGCGCTGGCTCTGCCCGTGGCCCCACAGCCCTGCCGTCCCTGTCCCTCGGGGCTGAGCATGTGCTGCAGGTCCCCGAGGGCAGGTTTTGGGCTCTCTGGGTGCAGGATGTGTCCATGGAAGCTGGGTTGGGCCTTCTGGGGGTGGGGCTCACCACCTTGGGGTCCCTCCAGAAAGCAGAGCAGGGCAGAAGGGGGGGGATATAAGTGGATCCAACCCCCCTCCACCTGCCCCAACCCCCTGAGGGCACCGACCCATCCCTCCGCTCCCACGAGACGATGGGGATGGAAGAAGAGCTGCAAAGGAGGGTGGAAAAGGTGAAGGTTTTTCCATTCCCCCCTGCTCGGTCGCTGCCCTGAGGGCTCGGCATCACTCAGCAGGTAGCTGGGGCAGCCCGGGGTCCCGGCCGGCCCCGGGGGAGGCAGCTGTCTGGGAGCCGCTCGCTGCCGTGATTTATACAGCACAGCCCCATAAATTACCGGGACGGCGCCCGCGG